AACTCAGTTGTACATCGTTGACAAGCCGCTTTTGGGTTGTTATAAATCACCCAAGGATCTAATTTTCAAAATTAATGTTCTTCCTCGCTTAATTTTGCCTGTGGGTGTGCTAGTGAGGAGAGCAATAATGGCACACACACCCGTGCCCACACCCAGCCACATCCACATCCACACCCACACCTACACAAACACGCACCCATACCCACACTCACATACCCACCCACACCCACATCCACACCCAAAACATTATATTTATAAAACCATAACATAATTATTTTATTTTTGAATGTTCGAATAATCAAGTTGAATTCCGTCAACTATTATCTAATAAAGTTTACTACGTAGGATACATCGGGCCTGGATTCGAGTATTCCGTAACTCGATTCGCTCACAGTCGGGACCAAAGACTGAACTCTGCGGACCAAGATAGAACTCAACGAGCTCTATCGAATGCACCATTTACTTTTGCTCCAGTATCATTCCAAGTGGGAAAAAAATCGACAATACTGTAAAACAACAACCAAAAAATCAGATTTTTGTTGTGCTACGCACCGCGGTTCGCCCACACCTGGGACCAAAACATGAAAATGAAATAGGTTGATAAAACTTAGCTAGCTCTATCCAATGGTAACCTTTTAACGTATTCCAAGTACTTCCATCCTCCCCAAAACCGCAATATACTCAGAAATCCTGGTTTTCTCGCAAACCCGTTCCGAAATTCTCCCATAGCTGGGACCAAAACATGAAAACGACATAGGTAGATAGAACCCAACGAGCTCTAACCAATGCTCACCTTTTAAGGTATTTTAAGCACTTCCGTCGTCACGAAACTCCAATATACTAGGAAAACTTGGTTTTTCAAGCAACACCGTTCCGAGATTCGCCCACACCTGGAACCAAAAAATAAAAACAACATAGATAGATAGAACTCAACGAGCTCTATCCAATGCTCACCTTCTAAGGTATTCCAAGCACTTCCAACCTCCCCAAAAACCTAACACACTGGGAAATCCTTGTTTTCCAAGCAACACCGTTCCGGGATTCGCCCAAACCACCGGCGAAACCATGAAAATACCATAGTTAGATAGAACTCAACGAGCTTCATCCAATGGTAACCTTTTAAGGTAATTTTAAGTCCTTCCATGTTCCCAAAACCCCAATATACTCAGAAATCCTGGTATTTCCAGCAAAACCGTTCCGGGATTGGCATACACCTCGGCCGAGCAAATGAAAATACTATAGGTAGATAGAACTCAACGAGCTCCATCCAACGGTAACATTTTAAGGTAATTTTAAGTACTTCCATCCTCCCAAAACCCCAACATACTCAGAAATCCTGGTTTTTCCCGCAAAAAACGATCCGGGATTCGCCCACAGGCAGTACGAAAATATGAAAATGACATATATGGATAGAACTCGATGAGCTCTATCCAATGCTAACCTTTTGAGGTATTCTTAGTACTTTGATCCCCTACAAGACCCCAAT